TTCATATATATCATTTTTTTAAAAGTCATCGATGTAACCAAGATCGAACCACGCTCTTTTGCAGTCTATATATATTGCCACAATTAATTAAAAATCACATATCCTCAACTAACTCATGTTTATAAATCATTTGTCCTCCCGTTTAAGTCTTAATAATTACCAGTACGGATGGATTTAACAAACCCGAGAATTTCCAGTTAGATATACATATTATTTTATTTCATCCTTTTGTCTTTCTTGGCGGCTTCATTTACTAGAGTTTAAAATGAAATGTGCAATAAAGTATAAAATAAAATTGTAAAATACACAATCAAACTAAAATAAATTATGTATAAACCAAAATGAAATTGAATAAAACACGGTGTTCTTTCATGCTTTTTTCCAATTCAAAGTTAGAAAATATATTTCTGAACGATAATTAGACAATGGCAACGCACGTTAACGTTTAATTATGTGCGTGTAGAGTTACCAATGTGATGTCTTCCTGAATCGCATGTGTCGTATTGTTATTATATTAGTCATAATGTACTATATTGTATATTGAATGTTCGAATATCCGATGGTTATTAGATGTTGAAACAAAATTTACTGAAAGATAAACTATGCTCATATTTGAGTAAAATAATTTTATCCCAAACATTTCTTGAAAACTATGAGATTCTTACTTAATATTTCTATTTCGAATAACATAATGTGCAAAGTATATTTGGGAAGATGCATTTCCTATTACACTCAGGTAATGTTGGCCCTTTCTTAAAAAACTGCCAGTTTATTTTTATGACAACATATTTTCATACTGTTACCTCCTATAGCACGTAGAGTTTAAAACATAACATATCTGCATTGTGTGAAGTCGGAACTTGTTCATTTTATATTTACAAAGATACAGTGTAATAGTTTTCAATACCGTCAAATACCAAATTTGAGCATAATATATCTTAAACAAAAAAAAAATTAATTTCCTATAGTTTGATTAATTGCATTTTATAAATCATTACTTGTGAAGTGTAAATTTTTAACCAACACAAAGAAAATCATCGGACATTCATACATTTATTTGACATAATCGTTAATTACGATCATAGACTAGTTCTTGAATCTATATTGGTTGATGGTCAGGATATTTATTCTGGTACACTAACATAAGAAATGGCAGACTCGTTTAATTAAGAAATGTTGATATGATCAATAGTTATTGTCAGTTTATTTGATTACCAGCTCGAGTTATCTCGTAAGCTTATCAACTGTCTATGTTATCATGAAACATGTTCACATTTAATGAAAGGATTCATGCGTTATATTTGCACCTAAAATGAAATAATAATCCATTTATGATTAAAGTTTTGCAAAATGTAATAATGTTTTATTTGCAATAAAGTTATTTGTATTTGTTCTATTGTATTGTTTAATTAACCAGTTTCTTTTGCGTTATTTACAAGTGTTTGGACTTTCTTGTTTTAATTAATGATGGGAAATGTTATAAGGCAAACAAGTTGTTTACATTCAATCAGAGATGTTATATTTCCGATCCTTAAAGATCGTTCAGCACGACAATATTGATGTGCTTGTGGTATTTTAGTTCTTTCTATTTGGCTATTTTCTTGTTGGGTGGTTCCAGTATTCCTCACTTGAATACTGTTGAATCACCCTTAGGATATGTGGCCTGCTTTTTAAATTTGTCTTTTGACGTCTCATCTGTGATATGCAGGCCTCATAACCTCTGATCCCCTTTCAAAATTCCATTTTATTTAGTTCCGCCCATTGTTTAGGGCACACGTATTTTGTTTTTACTTGGGGACCATATGCCGCTTTTCATGGTATATGTTTACGTGTTTCATTGAAGGTTCCATGATAACCGCCATATGAACACATCTGCGGATGTTTCAAAATTCTAAATTGTACCAGTTCATGTTAAATGTTGAATTCTGCTTAAGCCGGTGCTAGAAGGCGTGGACGGTAGTTTGCACTCGACAGTGCCGTCCATGAACAGGCTCAATCAAACCGAGCCTGCAACATTTTCAATTTTGCCGTGTTGGGCTTTCTTTAGGGATTCTTATTAACTCTATTTTAGTATATAATTAAGTTGTACTAAAACTGATTTAACTTTGCTCTATTTATTTTCAAATTAGTGACGGACAAATCTATTCAGTTACATGTCGATACCTTTTTTAATGTTTCGACATAGTGTGTAAGCTTTTTTAGTATTTATAAAAATGTTTTGTTATTGTCACTATTGTTTCTTTTTTGTTTATGGCAGATAAAAAACGGTTTAAAACTGTTGTGCCTACATGCTACCTATGGCATTCTGTAAGTGTTTGCTATCGACTGTAAAAATATATACAATAATTCAAGAACATAACTATAGCATTTACTCCATATATCCAAATATATTATGTTTGTGCCAGTCAGCTTACTAAATGTATGTTTAATATTTAACATGTTGTTTAGGAAATTCTTAACATGCAGCAGAATATGTCGTCAGATTTATATCTTTCATGCTTAAGTCGTACATCAAAATATGAAAAACCGAGTAAAAGTATATCCTTGAATAGATTTAAACATTATTTATTTCATTATACGTACACAAAGTAAATATATATGTAATTAAATACAGATTTGTGCGAGAAATTCTCTCCCGGTAAATGATCAGCTAACATTTGTTATAACATTCAAACCAAAACACAATATTTAATGAATATGATTCATTTGATATTAATGTTTTTCATGGTCAGAAAATAATCAAATAATATGGAAAAAACAAAACAAGCAAAAACAACAGAATCCCTAGAACGCCCAAAACCATAATTGATCCTGTTCATGGTCGGAACTAAAAAGTGCAATATACTGTCCGCGTCCCCTAGACTGCACTCGAAATCATCGAAACCGAGACATCAAGATATTATTGATTATTATGGCTTGTTGGCATTTTTTCACACTCATTCGTTTTTTATACAACACAGAAATATAACATTACAACTTCCATATTAAATAGTTTTTTATCGAAGAAAAATAATTAGTTTTCTCTCAAAAATAATGTAAATAATACCTTAATTGACAATACTTATCCATAAGTTATATTTATTAAGATTGCGTCATCTAAGTTGTTATAAAAGTCATATAGATTTGAATTTAAATGTTTTGTAGAGATAAATCATCATTTATAAAATCAGTCAGTTATTTATTTTCAGATTTATTATAAGAATACCAGTGTATCATTGTTGTTATACCAGTGCTCGAAGTCTACCTAACTGAACATTTTCTTATATTCTGAGATATTTATTATAAATCTTGTGACAAACCTAGGCTGTTATTTTCGGGATATGATGAACTTTATTGTACTGTCTCGACCAATTTGTGAGATCAATCCTTCATGATGAATATTTTATGTACTTATGACGGCAGATTGTTTCTTTTCATCGGGAACAAATCTGATTGATTAGGTTTAGTTTTATGACAAAATTGACTAAAGAAAGTCATATACCATCATGTTTTTGTAAGATAATATTTACGTAATATTTAAGATTAATGGGTTTATTCCGTTGAATAGAATAAGTTTAAGCGTTTTGATTTGCAACAAATACATATTGATAACAAGTGTTCATTTATTCTTTGAATCTTTCAAAAAGTATTGTCAATAGGTATCATTTAATACTTACACTTAGTATTGCGTCAGACAACGGTATCTAGTGTGTGTGTGCGCGCGCGTGTGTGTATGTGTGTGTAATTGTGTCATATGAAGTTTTAAGTGTGAAATGTATTTAAAGAATGGGATCTTGAAATCGTGTTGACAATTTGTGTTTCGTTTCATTAGTGTGTTTGATAAATTTAGCTTGTAACGACCTTCTGCGATACATACCTGCGCACTCAGCGCAACGCAACGTTCCTCTGTTGTTAAACATCTTATATGCTCTAAGTCCATTATTAAGCACACGTTTGACATTTCAAAAGAATAACGTGATTAGGCTTACCTTGAAATGCAGTGAATGAATGAAATATGGAATAATATTTGTACATTAATTTATTATCAAAAGCCAGCTTATCTTTAAACTAGATACACAATCCTTAGCAGAACTCCAAATATTATGCAATCGAAATAAAACCTTGCTGGATATAATGGTTATATAAAAACTACATATGACGTAAATGTAATACAATATTGATTCTTCCAATGGTTTTCTGTCAAAATCAAACTGCGTAAATACGTATTATTAATACATAAATAAGTGTAGAAAACAGTGATATCACTTGATACGTAAATCAACATAAAGCCTCAGATATGAATAAATCTTTCTTTCTGTAGATTAAAAAAAAATGTTTGTAGTGTTGAACTTCTTTAAACATATTCGTATTTTTAAAATCTTGTCTTTTGTGCAGACATTAAGTAAAACATATAATTAAAATGAATTAAAAAAAACTTATTAAAATAAAACCAGAATTCCACCGTTATGAGTAATAAATGAACATAAATTGTGATAAAAGTTTATAATATCAGGGCAGTGGTACAAAATGTATACAGAAAGAAAGCAAACATGTTACGATTCAATAAGAATATCGATCATTTAATACATTTCGGTGCTATTTTAATATTGTTAGCATTATAAGTTACAGTCTTTAACAATGTGATGTTTTAGCGCCTAAACTCTATATTATCATTTACACATCTTTAACTGACTAATAATCCGTCACTTTGAGTGACCACTTGAATACATTTTATGAAGCGATTCATGGCAAATATCATAATCTTTATTCACAATGCATATATAGTGTTTAAAATCACTAAGTGTATATGTATCAATTTAATCCATATATATCTATCTTTAATTGGAATATTCATCGTTAAATAGACTGAGTGTCTTTGTTCACCAAAAACAAACGGAAGTAAGTGGGTATATGTTCCTATTGCAAAGCTGGAGAGTAAAATAACTAACTGTTTAAGATAATAATATACTATACACATATTAATGTCAAATGTTATCACTTTTTTATAATTTCTGTTACAGGACAAGCTCAACCCATACAATACTTTTACATCAGTCCGTAAGTACTCTTATGTTGATACACTACCAATGCAATTCTGTCATATAACATGTCGTCTATAATTGTAGGGAGGTACATCTATTGACTTCTTCACAAGTGTTTGGCAAATATAATTTCCAATCAGATTAATTACGTCGATACTTGACCTGTTTTACCAAAGGCTTGCTTTTCCACGAAAGACGATGTGTAAATGGCAATATGACAGTTATTCAATAAAATATTTATTATGATTTAATGTTATTTCCTTATACATTGTAATGTGTCGCGTACTTTGTAAACATTTCATATTTCTTAATGAATGTACATGTCATGTTAATATACTTTATAAGGAATACTTAAATGTATTATAACAAAAGATATTGGCAAAAGGTAAAATGTCTTTTGAATTTAGTATAATAATATATAACCGTTATTACATGTTTTAGAAAACAATGACAAAATATTGATTTAAATACTTCTCAACAATTCATGTTGGAATGTTATGATATATAAAGGTTACCATTTCAAGTGACATTTAAACATTTACCTGTTGTTTTATGTACAAAATGTTTGTTTTCCTCATTTGTATCATAGTTTGTTTTCCTCATTTGTATCATAATCGGAATATTAAGATAACCATTTAGCTTAGTATTTAACTACATTGAATTAATTAGCAGATGCTTAGCATGCATGTAGTGGAAAAAATGAAATATATCGTTTCCCCTTTTGTATTGTTTAAATGCAATTTGCTATAGATAAATTTCTTGGTATTTCTCGCAGTTGATAATTAAAACAAATGAAATGTATATAAAAAAGAAACTATACTAAAGATATGAATTTCATAATGAACATTTCTGATTCAAACAAATAGCATTAATCTAAACATATTTTGTTTGTATTTTCAGGAAAAAATGACCCATAAATATCTCATCCCGAATGAATCAAATATGACGACTATTCCATCTTACCCAGACGGTTTGCATTACAGTGACTCGTTTACTTATGATTATTACGGTAACTTTACCGGTATTGGGACCCCAAACTTTAACGCGGATGAAATATTAAAAGTGCTTAAGAGTCAGAGACATAATAAATTTGATAGAGCCACTGAAGCTATAATCATAACGGTGTTTTCAATAATGATAATATTTGGTGCATTAGGGAATGGATTGGTGTGCTTTGTCGTATTTCGAAATTCTCATATGCGTACACCGCGAAATATCTTCATCATAAATCTTGCAATTTCAGACCTTATTCTTTGTTTGTTCACGCAACCGCTCAACTTGTATCGATTGATAAGCACACAATGGCATTTAGGTTCGTTCATGTGTAAACTTTCAGCAATGTTACAGGGAACAAACGTATTTGTTTCGACGATAAGTATTACCGCTATTGCTCTAGACCGCTTCCAGGTTATTGTTTATCCTACAAAAGACAGTATGAAAAAGCTTGGAGGAGCGGCCGCGCTGATAACAATATGGGTGATTTCACTTCTAATGCCGAGTCCATTGATAATATTTACAGTATATAACCAGGAACAACCAGTACCTGGTATTGACTATTATCATTGTTACTGTTCGGAAGATTTGACATTACGAGCTGAAAAAGGAGCGTATTCAGTGGCATCTATGGTTGTTCAATACATTTTACCTGTTATAACTGTAATTATTGCCCATGCAAGAATATGTAACAAATTGAAATATCGCATGGTCAACAGACGCCCGCAACGAAGTTCTGGAGACGTTAATAGCCCACCACCTGCAAATGTAAATAGGAACAGACGAGGTGAAGGTCGGTCCGCACGAAAGCGAAAGACTAATATCCTGTTGGCGATGATAGCAGTTGTGTTCGTGTTTAGCTGGTTACCATTAAATATCAGCAACATCCTTGTTGAATTCCAGTTCAAAATCTTTTTTACAAACAAATCAATTGACATTAATCTTTTGTATATCGTTTGTCATACGCTTGTATTGAGCTCAGCATGCAGTAACCCAGTTCTTTATGGATGGTTAAATGACAATTTTAGAAAAGAGTTTGTGAAAGTACTTCGTTGCTCCTGCTGTAGTATGGAAAAACCACGATGGTTCTTTCTTCGCAGAGCAAGAGAGAGAGGTCTTCCAGTAATAACATTTTCGCCAGAAGAAAATGGTGGAAATGCTAATGGTTTTCAAAGGGCAGCAAATAGGCGTCCTACAAATACATCACACATGTTTATGACAACTGAGATTGATCAGACATGTCCACAATCAGCGGTGTCGCTGTAAAATATACTTTGAGTTTGAAATGTATTTGATTGTTTGGATTATTTCGAAAGTGCAAAGACATGTATGTGTACATACTATACTTTACTTTAACTTATGTCTCAATTAATATGTTTACACAGTTATAAATAAATTCAACTCTTAACGTTTAAAGATTTAAAGATATTTTTGACGGCCAGTTGATAGTTTATACTTTTGTTCAATAAATAGTTGAACTTTGAAACCAAATTGTAAATATATTCTTTTCTCTAAGATATAGTTTTGATTATGAAATTCATCAAACAACAGTTTAATTTTTACATGCTGTTTTCATATAAAACATATTGCCTTGTCGCTGTAAATACATTTTGGCTAAATACCTGTAATTCTTGAAATAAATGTAATTATTTTGAAAAAAATTGAAGCTACGTGTTTTTGTAAATTGTTTTTCAAAACATTGTTTTTTATTTTGTTGTATAGGTATAACAAATTGTGGTTTATGGTATTTATGTCAACTGTGTACGTACAGTTTGTAATTTTGTTTACAATTCCTTATAAGAGTGAATCAAATGTACCTTTCTTTCAATATTTTTAAGATAACGTTATATAACACACTGTTTTTAGAATCCTTTCCTTCAGATATAGAAGTTGTTAGTTTTGCGTATGATAAACAGTTTTTAAAAAATTACATGTAGTTTAATACTTATAAAATAGACTGTGATTTTTATACGAATTCTATGTCTTTTTCGTTACGTATTATGATAGGAAGTAATTTAACAGCAAATATAAAGGCGTTTTGTGTGCCTTTTTTCGGATATTTGCGTATGAATATTTTAGTATCTTTTTGGACAAAGAGAATATTGTTACAACAATATCGGAATGATTGTGTTCGCCCTGGAGTACATATGATACTGGTAATTTGTTTTTAAAATTGATCAGGTAGGGGAAAATACATAAATTAAAAGCATAACTGACAATAGTGTTGAGTAATAAATATAGGTTTTCACAGCTGAAAATTTAATTGTTGCGTACTGCCGTATGCTAATATCAACAAAGTTTTACATTTAAGTACATTCGCTTTTTAAATTTGTCATCATTTTGTAATACAGTACAAGTATCAACTATGGGTTAGTATTGTATATTGAAATAAACATTTAATCAATCAGTTTATTTATTATCGTCAGGTATTACTGCGAACCAAATATAATTTCAGTTAATTTAGTATATTTTATTAATATATCAGAAAAGAAACCATAATCACTGCGGTATACTGTACCCCGGATATTGCTCGATATTATGAGGACTTTCATCCCATTTCGCGACTTTGAACGGGGAACAAAGGTAAGTTTAGTGACGATATTTAGTCATTTTGAATTGGTTTGATATAAATTTTATAGAAAAACAAATAGTTCAATAATTTCTCTAGCTACTGAAAACCCATAAATGTTGAGAAAAAGCTTTGAAATGTAATTAGGAAGTAAAATTCGTCTTTGCACTCGGATAAATGAGCTCGGATCAGTCAAATTTGATGTTTTTGTGCATTCACTTCCTTGAAAAAAACTTGAATCGAGTGAAATGTGATAACGATGATAATGTTTATGTTATAAATGTTCAATCAACAACAGAATCTCAGATGACACCTCATTTTGAGAATCAATGCACATGTCAGTGTACCGAGTATTGCGTTGGAGTTGCTCTCCGGTGTAACGAGTATTGCTTTTTATTGTATCGAGTATTGGTTACTAATATCGAGTAAATGCGAGTAGTAAACACAGAGTATTTTCTACATTCAATCTTAACTATTTCTTATTGTGTATACTAATTGACACTGTATGTACAGAATATGGAGAGTTTGGAGGTACTTTACTGGAAACATCTGCGAATAATCCATAGGTAGTGCGATTTTCATTCCTGCTCATGAAAAAACTCAGTCAACGAAGTCAGCAAATTTCTGTGTTTAAAGAGTTCTCGTTGCTATCGAAGGATCAACCTTTTCAGAATTTGTTAATAATTTTTGAATATCTTACTATAAATAGTAAGAAAATTTCATGGAAAGTACATTAATGCTGGCTCAAGATTGTCAATATAAGACGGTATTGAGCAAGTGTGCCAATACCTGATATCAACCCACTTCCTACTATGCCAAACATCCATTTAAAGGTAGCTTTCGGTCATTTTGCACCTGCATTCTAGCAACGGCAGACCGTCTGCTCTTGAAATTTGATACGTCATTAGCAATGAGTTCTGACTGCCGAACGGGTACATCTAAAAAAACAACGAATTATGAATTCTGATAAGATTTTGATAAAGGGCAGCAAATGCAATAAAAAGGTTATGTTCCTTAAGACGAGACGGCATACTTGCACGGCATTAGCCCTCGGGCCAAAATTTTACTAAGTGTGTCGCAATGTTTCTTAATGCACGTTTGCCCTGAAGAAACCTATAATAAATGTCATCTCAATGTTATCTTCTTTGTAGAGATGGGTCTCACAGTTTCTTGAGACAAGTATTTAAAGATTTTAATTGTCAATTTTTATGGTTCTACCCTGCTCCCAACCCTGCTCCCCATTAACAAGCATAAACTTTATTTCAATTATAGTGTGATTTTCAACCAAATGCGAAATTAATTATCTATATTTGTCCGTAGAAAAAGAACAGTAATAACACTGAAAATGAATTGTTGAACCTGAAATATTTGGATAAATATCATAAACAGTACATTATCAGAAAATTAAATGGCATCGATAAACAGACATGAAAATTAGACAAAAATATCGATTACCATTCTAATTTGCTCTTTTTGTTTTGCAACACACTGTACACTAAAGTTGGGCTATTTTGCAATACTCTGTACACTTAAAATCAATACTCGGTACACTTTCTTGTATCTTTTTTGGCCTTAATCTCACACTTTTTGCCTACAATATGACAAACAAGATCAACAAGGAAAGGCGGCGTTCAATGAACGCAGCCCCCACCCGACCCAGTAACAAGAACCAGTGACAAGGAGCCCAGGAAGACCCCAAACAAAAACAGGACAGGGCACAAGACAGATCACGGACATTTTAATCACTAAAATGAAAATAATTTGTAACTAATAAGGAATTCAAAGAAAACAAATAAATGATTGAGCAAAAGGAAATAATTTGTAACTGATAAGGAATACAAAGAAAACAAATAAATGATTGAATATTAGGCCAATAATTTGGATCAAGAATACTTGCTTGATTCAGTTTTTTTTACCTCGGTAATATATTTTATAACGATTCTACAGTATCGCAGTCAGTATTTTCTAGTGAGCAGCCGATCGTTTAGGGTAGTTTAATCAATTTTACAAGTATCTGTAATACTTCGATGTCTTTTGAGCTTCAAAAATACAGCTAGATATATAAAACCATTTGAGGTAAATATTATAGCCACTAGTTTGGAAAATATCGTCGCTTATATCCGGGGAACAGTATACCGCAGTGATAATGGTTGCCTACCATTGCACAAATAAAACGTTTAACGTTCGGTTTGATCCTTCTTGAATGGCATAGTCATGCGCATGTTGTGATAAATTTTATCCAGTGAATTCACACAACTTTTTGACTCGGTTCAATCCAAAAACATCGATTGATTACCTAGAGGAAATAAACTTTCGTTCTTATATTCTAATAACTAATTTTATAAGCTTTACATAATTCACTTTTATTGTATTTAGCTGGATATAAATAGTAATGTGCCAATGTTAAACCCATACAAGGAAACGATTGAGCATATACATGAACAACCATGATTTCTGCGAGCTATCTTTTGTGCCAGCTAGCAACGGTTTATGTAGAGTTTAACATTGAATTTAAAAAAAAAAGAAGATTATTGCTCTTTAATTTCGAAGAAGTCCCAAACGGCATTGATTATGGAACCGTTAATATGATTCTAATGTTTTTCCATGAATCCACGAGTAATATAAATAACAAAATATATGCAGAATTAAATGACAATGGAATAATTATATTGAAAACTTTTTAAGCAGGCAGGATACTTTCACATTTATTACAGTTAAGTTGAGAAGAATAACCTTGAAAAGCAAAAAATGTGAAATAGACATCAAAAATGACCTCCTGTACAATCCTCAATGATCAAAAAACATAATTTTATCATAATAATTATGACATTTGACAGATTAAGCAGCCGTTCAGGCCAAAACGTGCAATGGGTTTATTAGATAATGTTAATATTATGCTCTGTCGTGATGAATTATGTTTTTACTCAGGATTATTGCTTTGGTAATAAACTTATATTTAATAAGTAAAACAATGAGAACAAAGATCATTAATGCAAAGGCAACGTTCACAGGACGCAGCCCCCGACGCAAGCCAGTCACAACAGGGGGTCACCAAGAAGGCACCGAACCAAAACCGGCAGAGGAACAAGTTTACCTTTAATACAACTCTCGCCTTAACGTTATTGATCTATACTTATTGTTTATAAAAGTATTAAATCGAATGGAACAATAGTCTCATGATTTTTTTCTTCCTAAGAAACGGCAAACATGACTTTTACAACTTTTAAATATAGATTTAAGAATGTAGTATGCTTATCACTTGAATACGTTAGCGCTTAATGTTAAATAATGTGTCACGAAAGTAGCAAAATGTCAAAAAATAGTATTATGACTTCAATAAAAACACTAAATTAATGAAGCTGCACTACATGCCAAAATACAAAAGAAGCAAAGACTGGTAGTTAAATATTTTGTATTTTGAAACTTAATAATGACGTCAAAAATAAAAGGTGCTGAGAAGTAAAATTTTATCTTTCTGAAGCCAAACGAGAAATGGAAACACACAATTAAATGTCATGTTTTATATAAGCTAATTAGATACCTGATTGGTAAACAAGGGTCGGTGGTACAATTCCCGGGCGAGGCAATTTTCTCCGTGGCAATGGATCTCGAGCATCAATTCTGATGGTATTTGCCTCACCCCTCTGATTTTAAAAGTCATGTGGGATTAGTAGTTGATTATTGCGAAGAAAATACTAGTCAATTAGCCAGGTAAGTCGGCTAAGTTGATGGTAAATATGATTGTATTCAAATCGCGGAAACCCAGAAAAAAAATAACAAAAAAACTTTTATCACACATCCGTGCCGCTTTTACGACTCCGTAAATGGCACGACGTGGCGTCATTTGCGTTATATAATTATAGCGTTAAGACGCGTTGCACTGTAGGCGCGTTAATGACAAATGGTTCTTTTTCACTTCAAACGGTCTTTATTGTTGGTATGTGATAAATAGTGGATATTGAATGAGTGTAGTTCATTACTGAATTAATTTAGCTTGTTGAATAAAACAATATTATGCTCGCCAGAGTCTCGCATAATATAATTATATTCAGCTCGTTCAATAAATTCAGTTATGAACTTACACTCATTCAATATCCTCTATTTGTTAATTTTCAAGATAAATTAACTCATTTTAGGTATTTCCGTTACAAACGTGAGTCCCGTATTGGTATTATAGTTGCAATATACCCATCCAAGGCTGAATAGTAAGTGAACAGGTTAAAATACAAAAAAGTGTACATTTGACACCATTCCTTTCCATATTATTATGAATATTAAACGAAGTTAATCACTTGGAAAGAAGGACAATTGTTGTAAATATTTACTAGTATATACATCTAATGTTTAATTTATTAAAAAGACACGGGTAGTCGTTTTCTTTTTTAGGCAAATTTATATTTTATCTTAACCATCATCCGGTATAAGCTATTGGTTTGTCAACATTATTGCAGACAATCTTTTAGAATATAAAATTAATTTAGTTTATACTCAATGTTTATGGGTGTCATTTTATGACCACCGACTTAAAACTGCATGCCTGCAGATGAGCCAAAATAGTTCAAGAAAATCAAGCTTGCGAGAAGTGTCCTAAGGTTTTATATTAAGAAAAGTAAATAGATATAAGAAATGATTTAAATGTTATGTACGATTACTTACTCATTTTGCAGTCTCACGCACCATATGTCTTGTGCATGACTAACGCAATAAGGGTTGTTTTAAGGGTTTTTCTTTACGGTGATTTATCTGTTTTGTGGGATTTGTGACTCATTTTGCAGTATTAACCACCATATGTCTACTGCGTGACTAACGTATTTAGGACTAATTTT